TAAAGTAGCAAGCTGTGAAAGAGAGTTATGGGACGTTATATGCAGAATTGTATAACAGTTACTGTTATCCTAGTGTATGACTATTTACATAAGTGATTTTCAACCTTTTTTCATTTGCAGACCCCTAAAAAGTGTCAAATGTAGGCGAGGACCCTTTTGAGTTGTAAATGTAGGCATTCACATACTTTTGATTGATCATAGTCATCTTTCACAGACCCCTTAGACAGTCTGCAGACCCTCAGGGGCCTGCAGAACACAAGTTGAAAACTGCTGCCTTAGATGTGCTTTTCATATATGTAGCTTATGATCCTTTTCAGTAACAAGTAGGTACCTATCCCCACACTCTACCAATAGCTCAGTTGAGACCCAGGATGCCTCAGGGCTACATTTCCCAAAGTCCTCCACTGACTCGGGGTAGGTTTGCTCTTTTATGGCTGTGCACGCTGATGACATTTCTAGGACCTGATTATCAGTCATGCTCACCACATGCATTTTGCAATGCTATCAGAAGAGATGTGGATGTTCAGCATGTACATGGTCCATTCATATTCATATATGGTACCCATTGCTGTAGGAGAAGTATGGATTCCAAAAGTGCATCAAACCTTATGCTCAGTTGCTGATAATTTTGGGTGCCCACATCAAAGGCACCTGATGGTTTATGTTTAAGTGGCTTGCCCAAATTGTCTTAGTGAGTCAGGAGCACAGTTGGAAAATGAACCCAGGGCTCTTGCAAGACCTGAAGTACCCAGACAAAATGTAAATAACCAGGAACACAAATATAGGGGAGGACCTGCTGCTCAGATAAAACAGATCAGTAGTTAGGTGAAGATCTTTCATCTCTAAGTTCTTGAAAGGCTTTTACAAACAACTAAGTGCAACTCTTCTGGGTGTTATTTTCATGCAATTCAGTCCTTTATTTATTTAAAAGAAAAAAAATCAGCCTGTCACTCACCTTGAGGAGGGTTTCTCAGCGATAAATTCTGAAAACCATTTTCTATCTGTTGCTGCAAAATAAATGAGAGATAATTTGCTTTGTTTAACTGCATTATCATAGAAATCTGAGAAATTAAGTGCATCTGTGAACAAATGCCCCAATAGTTACTTTGTACATCTAGGCACACTTTTACAAGGGAGCTTTGGCAGGTGGAGTTGATTCAGCCACAGTCTTGTTCTACATTTAGCTTTACTGCTCTCTAATGGCTCAGTAGAAACACAAGTCTGCTAATGTCAGTCTAAGCCAAGGACAATAATGGCTTCGTAGGATACATATGAGCAAAATATGCTTTGCAACTTGGACCTGAAAAAGAATCTAGTGGAGATGGAGCTGAAAGCCAAGGAGTTTGCTTAACAGCAGCAGCACCTCTTCTGGTATGGAAGGGAAGCTGCATAATTTTATAAGAAGGAAGCATTTTTACCAACTGACTTTTACAAGTAGGGAGCATTTTACCATCTGAATTGCTAACACCAGGCTCCTGCCATTGTTTGAGTGAATGTGCATCTTGCAGAGCACAGGAACACAGATACCTCACTACTTTAAACACCTGCCCAGAAGAGCTTTGCATCTTTCCACTCTTCTGTGAAATATTAAACATAACCTAAAGGAAATATGCCTCTACATCCAGCTTGCCACTGGACAACTTTGAGGTAAAAAGACTGGTTTCAACTTTTTCTCTGTGCCTAACCTGGACAAAATAAACTTTTCCAAACAGGAGATTTTACCACACCTCCAGCCCTCCTGTGAAATACGCATTTTCATTTCTACCCAGGAGAACTTTTACAATCTCTGTTCTCTCCTATGCCTGATGAAGGGTGTGCGCGCCCAAACGCTTGTAGATAAATACAATAATTTGTTTGCAAATATCTAGTTGGTCTAATAAAAGGTATCACCTCTTCAATGTGTTTTGATTCCAATAGCACAACCAAGCATTTGCACCCAAAGAGCTAAGGTTGTCAGTGGCAACTGGTTTGCTGGAACTGGAGCAAATCCCCAGTGTACACAATGGGTGCGATCATCAGCTAGCGTGACCTGGTGCGATTCCACTGACAAAAGGAGCTGGTTTGATTTACTAGCTGAGAATCTTACCAAGATAGAAGGGCTTGTCTATGCAATGATGTCCCTGCTAGTTTCCAGGCCTGCTGACATAACAAGGCAACTACTGCTTTCTGTGATGGCACTTGGGCTCCCTGGGGTAAATGCAGCCTGGCCAGCACAGGGAGGCTTTTCTGTGGCCAGCGCAATTGCATCTATGCCAGGGGTTTAGCTGGCACAGTTATGTCTGCTATGGGGTGTGACTGTTTCAGCCTTCCCAGCTGCCGCAGAGCTGTTGCAGAGGATTGTAATATAGACCAAGCCCAACTTAATTTGACCTGTTAAAGAAGTTCAGACCTGTGTAGATACAATTACCTAACATTTCTGGGGGACTTCTCTACTTTCTACTAAGCTCCCAAACAAGGTTTGTTTATAATGTGTGTGAATTTTATAAAATATTTATAAATATGTTATTAACCCATGTGCGGACAAATGTATTAATTATATATACATATATACATACACACACACACACCTCTATACATATACACATACACAATATAGTATATAGAATTAATATGTTCATATATGGATTTGGGGGGGAAAAAAAAAATCACCTTAGTTATTCTGGAGCAAGGTTTGGATTTGTTTTTTTGTAAGCTAGGCCTCAAGAACAGAAAAATCGCCCAGCTGGACTAGAGGAGTGAGCAGGTGTCCAGACAGGGCCCACTTTCATGCCTCTTTGCAGCCTACCACATGCATGGAAATAGCGGGCAGTCAGGCAAAAATTGCTTCACCTCCACTATGGAAAACCCTTCTTGCACAGGGGGAAGCTCATGAACTGAAACACCTTCTACATAGCACTTAAGTATGAACTAGGGTGGAATGAATGGGTGACCAGACCCAGGTGCCCATTTAGAGAGCAGATGACACCAGGTTCTTTGGCCTCTATTCCTTGGCTGCCATTCTGGTGGCAACTGCCAGAAATGCTGTTGAGTGCCCTCAGCCCAAGCATCTCTTCCTACGGCTCCAGAACTGCTAGTTACATCTTAGCTTAGCTGGGTGTTACAGAGATCAATTGCCCAGTCATGTTGCCAGGGCAAGAAGCATGGGAAGAGCAACTCTCAATGGCATCAGCATGCTTGCATGCAGGGGGCTAACAGTGAAGTTGCTTGGGTCAGCACTCAAAGAAAACCCCACTGATGACAATTCCCCATGAACCTCTTTGACTTGAGACATCTTCTCAGGTTCTGAACAATTCCAGCAGTGATCCTTCATGTTTAGTTTTTTTCCCCCCTCTCCTCTCAGCCCCAGTTCTAGTACCTGTATGTGAGATGCAGGCTGTGACAGAATGGCAACTTTCACAGTAGGAGGTCTGGTGTCAAGCTTGTCCTTGTCATCTTCATCCTCCTGCAGTATATGGTCTAAGAGATGAAACATAAAATTACAGAGAGCCATACTGACCAGACAGATCCCATAATTCACACACCTGAATTTCCAAAAGGGGGATTTCACCATGATATACAGTTCCAATGAGGAGGGAGTGTTTGCTCAGAATTTAAGATCCACATCTGCAAAAGATGCTCTGCTAAATTTTGGATTCCCTCCGCTTTCAGTTGTTTTCCATTGGGGACACCTACGGCCTAATTTCTCAATAGGGGCTGGTGATTCAGAGTGCTCCTGTTTGTGGGAACCATGCAGAAGGTATCAGAAGGCCTACTTCTCGGAGGGTAGGCCATCAGCACTTTCTAAAACTTCCCACCCCTCTCAGGTGCCTTGGGTTGGGCCCCCCGTACATACTAGCAGAGGCATGGTAGTGAAGCTCAGTGCCCAGGACAGCTGCATGGTGCCCAGGGCAGTGCTGGCTTCTCCCATGCCAATTGCAGGGGTGCAATCAGCTGCTGCTGCAGTAATGGCTGTTCTTGAGCCCCTCCACAAAGGCAGGCTGTAGGGTTGCTACCCAGGTCACCCCTTCCCCAAGTTATGCTACTGTACCTTAGTTGAAGTAAGGACCCAAAAGTTTCTTTGGTGACAGATAAAAGTTAATGGGTATGTTTCTGAAAATCTTGCCCTTGATGCCACTGGCTTACTTGGATCTTCCTAAGCTGTTACACAGCTGGCAGGGGACTTCCTGAGTGCTTCCCTCAAATACATCTCAGCTCCCATCACCTACACAGCCCTACTGACTTCTATGTGTGCAACTATTCTCCAAGAGCTTGGCTCTCCGTCTTTCCTCAATGCAGACCTTTGGTTTGGAGAAGGGAAGAAATAATTTCTCTTGAGGAATGATCCATGGGCCAGTCATCCTACCTGCCATGGAACAGTAGAAAGCAACATACTGTCACTCCAGCTGAGCCACCCCCATCATTCAGACCACAGGCCCATATTTTTCAAGAGGATTCAGCTGCTTTCATTGACAGAAAGTAGCAGGGGCCAGTGGGTGTGAGTTATTCCTAAATATCTGGCTCCATGATAGAACCATTGGTGCAAGAGAACAAGAGAGGTTTTCCTGTTGGCTACAGGAGCCCTGAAAAATGAGTTGCTCTCATTTTTCTGAGGGATATTAGTCCACCTCTACAGTTGAATGATATCTTTTCTGTCTCTTTTGTTTTCCTTCAGTTAATGTTAAGGTGACCTGAAGAGGGTAAAGTAATGTTAGCGGCCTGAAAGGGTTCTAGCAAACAGCCCATCTCCCATATGAAGTCGTGGTATAGTCAGTGTGGCACAGGGCCTGGGCCAGGATGAGAACAGCAGCAACTCCTTCCACAGCTTGGAGCCCATATCTACCCATCTCAGCCCTCAACATGTAACCCCCATCCTTACTTGTAGTAGCAGGAGCATTGTTTGTTGCCACAGCAAGGGGCTGCTTGATTTTGTACACTTTGTGGGGGTCGTCGGAGTTCTTGGAGTTATCTTCCACCATCACGAACATGTTAGTGGAACCCAGGGCACAGCGGAAGTTTGTTTTCCACCTGGCTCGATCTTGGATATTTGGATGGTACTTTCCACTGGCGATGGCCCAGGCCTATTCATAAAGAGGAGGGTAAAAATAAGCATTTCCAGTTACTAGGTCAGACGATAAGTCCATCTTGGCCAGTATCTGGTGTCATACAGTGACACAGTGCATGCTGAAAGGGAGAGTGAGCCAAGTATGACCAGCGGTTTGTCCTCTGTTCCTCTCCCACTTGCAGCTGCTAGCATTTAAGGTTTAGGAAGTTTTGGTTCAGAAGCTGTGCCCTTAACTTGCATGTTCAAAAGCTGCTGATGCGCCTTTCTTCTAAGAATTTGTCCAATCCTTTTATGGGGGTGAAGAGAAGATAGGTAGGGAAGGAATTAGAGAAAAAGAAAAATTACAGCTTGACTGTTCTCCCTGGTAGCAAGGTCTGAAAGCCTCTACACCAGTGGTCTCCAAACTGTTTTGATTGCGCACCCCTATCAGTAAAAGATTTTTGATCACACACCCCCAATATGTACATTTATATAAATATAAATAGAACAGCTAATATTTTCTTCCCGCACCCCAATGGATTGTCTTGCACACTCCACTTTGGAGACCACTGCTCTACACAGATCCCTTCCAATCCACCATTAGCACATTTTAAGACCTCATCCGGTTTACACCATAGCTGTAAACAATCTTCCTCCCAATCAGTTTGAAAACTCATTTACCCAGGAGTAAATCTGGAGTCACACCCCTGGTTTGGACTGGCTTCTGCAGGAGTTGGGGTTTTGCAAAGGAAAGGAGAGAGAGTCATTTGGAATCCTACCTTGAAAATTTCATTATCGTTGTTGGTAATATCCCTCCTGGAATTGTGTTTCCAAGGGATACGAAATTCAGTGTGGACTTCATTTGTCCAGCGGATCCCTTCATACTTGTTGCTGTTGATCTCTTTAATCAGCCAGGGACCGAAACGCAATTTCTGAGAATCCCTAGAACGATAGAGACCGAGGTTAACACAGGACCATGGCAAAAGCACAGCACACACTGAAAGACCAGAGCCACAAGGAATAACATCACCTGTGGATGGCCTACTCCTATTCAGGGAAGAGTTTTGCTGTGATAAATGCAGGTGTTTAGCCTGTGACCAGAGGCCTATACAAGCCAGTGAAAAGGTAAAGCATGTGTAAAAATATCCTCCAAGTCTTGCCGTCGTGTATGACACTGTCTTAGAGATGCCGCACATAAGGTTGGGACCTCACTGTGCTACATACCATATGAACTATGGTCGGAAGGAGACTAAGTAGAGTAGATGGCCATCAAGATTGGGGTGGAGGGAGTTCATATGGTATGTAGCACAGTGAGGTCCCAACCTTATGTGCGGCATCTCTAAGACAGTGTCATACATGACGGCAAGACTTGGAGGATATTTTTACACATGCTTTTAGGATGGGGAGGTGCTTTAATTAGAGCAGCTCCAAGAGCCACTAAATAAAGAGTACCCAGAGCGTCTTGTGTAACAACGTCCCTGTGCTTCAAAATAGTGGTGGAGTATCCAATAAGGTATAGAAAGGAGTGCACCACCACCATTTTGAA